TTCACCACACTTACTTATGCACACATTCGTCTTCTGCGTTTATGTGGGGAAGGTGGTCACACAATGATGGTTTTTGTTCTTTGGTGTCTGCTACCTGATCCCTTCAACACCTCGTGTTCACACAGGCTCGTGTGCTTCTTCTCTGATCGCTGAAGACAGACGTGTGCATAAGCAAATGTGATGAAGAAAGCTGATGGTGCCCAGCTATCAAAAGACATAGCATCTGGGGTCTTAAAGGCTTGTAGGCAAACAAGTGGCCATCTAGCTCGGAAACAACAAGGCCCACAGAGAAGATGCCTTGAATCTTAAAAGCCTCCAAGCAGTCATTTGAGGCACAATAATTAGCCTTTATTCACCTGGAGCAGCAGAGAAGGAGACTCAGGAGTGTGAGGAGGATATAGGATCGGTGATTGTCTCCTTGAACTACTACTTTCTTTGTCACGATAACAGAAGAAATAGATGGTTCCCACTACCATTCCTGAACATTTTAATTAATTATTCCATAGAAGAATCCTGATAAAACGGTTTAAATATAGAACAGAATACAAAATTCTCATGGATTCTGGACTTCCTGAAGTTATAAAAGTTGGATAAACTTCTGAAACTATTTCCCTGAGACTAATGTTAAACTTTAAACCCCAAAATTTTCCCTAAGCAATAATAGTTTAACTTATCTGGTTAAAAAAAAGCAAAAAACAAGCCTGCCTGCAGCATTATGCTCTTTTAAGGTCTATCTATGTGGGACCAAATGACAATAGCAAATTCAAAAATTAAATAGGGACCTATGGGGGCAGGGAATTTATGCTAATGGGGAAGAAGAACTAAGTTGTACATGTAGAAGTCATTGAATTGGTGTGTGTTTTGCTGTGTATATTCTCAACAACATAAATAAAATAACCTTTTAAGACGATGCTTATTCCAATGAATCAACTTGTTTAGAAATAAGCTGAAAGTGATTATTAAAAAATCAACAAGCCACTTGAAGAACATCTGTTTAAGTATTTTCTTTTTTTTAGCACAAACACATACATGTATTCAACAAAATGTTGATCCTAATCAAATCAACACTTTGAAACAGTTGCATGTAAAATGTGTGTGATCGAAGTAATGGAATATAATAAAACAAGAACAACAAAGCAGTACAGAGATTTGCTCATTTAGCTGAGCTTGTTCCTTCTCACAGCTAATTCTTGTCCAAGTGATAATGGAATTTTTATTCTGCTCTTTCATAGGTCCGAGTACAGGTGATATTGTTCATAATGCATTCCACCACTAATTTTCCATTTTCCAATGTTCTTGTTATTGTGCTCTCCTTCCCATCCCCATCCCGGGGTTGAGCCAAAGCACCACCTGTGAAGTTGCAGACGGTCTGAGTTCTTCTGCCGTCAGCTGTGGTTTCTTCAAACTTTTCTCCCGGGTTACAAGAAGTCGGTGTGGTCTTCAAAGTGCTCTCCATTTTCACGGTGAGGGTTTTGCCATCACAAGTGATGACACAGTCAGGCTTGGCCATTGTACCCATTTTTCGAAGCGCCATTCCCACTCCTAGTTCCTTCATGTGTTCATCAAAGCCTTTGCTGTCCACCAGGCGCCATCTTCCCACGAACTGCTCAATGGTGGCCATGGTGGGCGAGAATGAGTGGGTGACAGGAGAAGGTAGAGGAGAGCATGGCGGGCGAGCGCAGTGTGTCTGTTTAAGTATTTTCTAAAGCTGTCAGATTTATATAAGCAATGGTAAAAATGTGAATCTGAATTCACCTCTGAATCTAAATTGTATATGGATATGAAATCGAGTGAACATAACCAAACAACATAGGATGGAACACTTATGAGGATTGAGTTCTGAAACCTTTAGTGGACTTGGAGAGTCTTTTTTATTAGCCATGTTGGAAAAACTAGAGGGTGTCTCAAAGGCAAGGAGATTTATTTGATTGAATTCATTATCCCTCAGCTTGTCATAAACATAAAAGAACACCTGAAGTTTCTCGTCTTCTGTCACTCAGTTTGTTGACTCCCAAGGAAAAAGTTTCTAAACATGTCATAAATATATCTAATCTCAACAGGCCTGTAATGAATGCATGCAGTATCCACAGTACATTAATAATTGCCGTGGGACACAAATTGTTTTTGAATATTTGAATGAGGTGTGCGTGAAAAGCTAAGAATGTGCACATTTCTTTCTAGAGGTTCCTAATATATTCAGTGGATGTGGTTGATTTTCTTAAGCAGCTAACACAGTCTGAAATGTACTTGATAGTCAATACATACTTGTTGAAATAATAAATTAGCATTCAAACCTCAAGCTAAAATAATGTCTAGTAGTATGTATTTGGGAGTAGTGGTGGCTCACTGGTAGAATTCTTCCCTTCCATGAGGAAGACTCATATTTGTTTCTTAGCTAATACACTTCAAGCAGGGCAGTCATTAGTAATCTGCCAGTGGGAGGTGTGGTGTTGCTATAAAGTGGAACAGGTTTAACAAGAGCTTCAGAACTAAGACAGACTAAGAAGAAAGGCCTAAAATCTATAGAAAATCAGCCACGACAGCCCGATGGAGCACAACGGTCAGTTCTCCTTGTGCATGGGATTGCCTTGAGACAGAGGTTAACTCAAAGCTGCTAACACTACTACTAATATGCAATTTGGGCATCATGGGTAGATGATGGGTTTTCCACCAGGTACGTCTCCTGTAGGGCTGCCATGAGTCAGAATTGATTTGCTGGCAGTGAGTTTGCCTTTCGGTTTTGGTTTGTTTGTTTTTTGTTCTGGTCTCCTATAAGTAACGAGGCCCTCCTCTGGAATAAAACTCAAGACCAAGGTAAAATTGATTGATGCCTTATGGCTTGAGATCTTTTCAAAAGCAAAGGCCAGCATCTTTTGCAGCTTCAGTGGATACACATTTAAGAGCTAAAGATTTCCACCACTTATACTAGTCAACAAGGAAGGAGAATTTTAATCTGTTTGTTTGTTTGAGCTGTGGCCAACCTCCTATAAGAGTCATTGGTTAAAGTTTGGCTTCAACTGATGATAAATGAAGTGTGGATACTGATGGATAACTGCGTCCTTAGTGAGGAGAGAATATTCTGTGGTTCTCAGACAATATTACTGTTCACAAATATCCTTAGAAACTAATGATGGGGACATTAAGTTGACCCACCTGTGTAGCCTACCACATTCAGTCAGGCCAGTACTCTAGAAAATCATCTTAAATATTCCCTCTGGCCTAATTGTGTGTATGTGTGCTTGGGGGTGGGGTGAGGGTGGTGTAGTAGACAACGAGAGTAATAATGGTTCAATTCAAGGACACTCACCCCTTTGTTATCAAGCAAGTTTAAATGCCCCTAATGAGTATTTTTTGAGAGTACTCCAGATTAAAAGATTCCATTGCATCAAGTATCATAATAGTCTGATAAGCAAATGTTATAAGACATTTGTTTAGGCATGTATATATATTGTAAACATGTATTCAGTAGAAGCACAGTACATAATTTCCATTTGCATTAGCTTCACTAAAAAGTAGTAATAATACTAAACCACAAAACTCTAAAATAATTGCCATCGAGTCAATGTTGACTTTAGTGACCCTACAGAACAGGGTAGAACTGCCCCATGAGTTTCTGAAACTAATTTTTTATGGGAAGTGAAAACCCCATCTTTCCCCCTCGGAGTCGCTGGTAGTTTCAAACTGCTGGCCTTGCAGTTAGCAGCCCATTGAGTAAGCACGACTATGCTATCAGGGCTCCTAGTGATAAAAATATTCACTCTTTATCCTTTTGTATTATTACCACAGGCAAGACTGCCCAAGATTTTTAAATTGTCTGCTCGGCTAAGCATCATATGCTGAACGCAAATATACAACTAAGCTCATAGCAGTTTTAAGACGCCAGCTCAAATAGTAGCTGTGTGTTCCTCAGCTGGAATCTTTTGATCTTTAGCCATTTTGTTCCTGGTTATTGTAATTGGGCTGTGTTGTTATATTTCTGTTACAATCATTCAATTGTACAATCTGAGAGTATATAGGATTAAATAAGGTCATCACTTCCACTTTATCTCTGATATTAAAACCATAGTTATACTTGGGTTCAAATTCTGGATCCTCAACTCTATGATGTATAAAATATAGAAAATTATTTCTACCACAAGATATTTTAGGAAAATTAAATTGACAGGTCGTATGCATTTACTATTATTTGTTAAACATCATTCTACCTGTGTAACACATATTCACTCATTTAATTGTGGTAGCAATTCAATGAGGTAGTTGCTATTATTATTTCACCGTGTTGTGTGTAAGAATGTTGAGACATACTTTGGTGAGTAGTGACTGGGGTCTTGAAAGCTTGTGAGTGGCAGTCTAAGGTGCAAGTATTGGCCTTTCCTTGTCTGGGGGAAAGAAGGATGAAGAAAATTGAAGACACATGGAAACAATCAAATGGATCCACAGACCACATCTCCAAGATCCCGAGACAAGAACTAAATAATTCCTGGCCACCTCTAGCAACTACTCTGAAAGGATCACATTAGAAGGCCCTGGAAAATGGGAGAAAATGTGGACAAAAAAAAAATCAAAGTCATAGACTTACTGGTGGTTAGAGACTGGTGGAACCCCTAAGATATGGCCCGTTAGCACCCTTGTGGTCTGGAAATGAATTCACCCCCATGTCTCAATTATTTTCAGTCAAATAACAGGTCTATAGGGGGAACAATAACACTACGGATATATATATATATATATATATATATATATATATATACAAAAAAACTATGTAGATATATATATATATATATATATATCATAGAATGCTCAACCATTTCAGATCAAAGAGGCAACATTTCCCCTGGGACAAAATTCAAAAGGGTTAGACAAGAAGGAGGAATGCAAATTTGAAACAAAGGTAGGTAGTGGGATAAGTGATGTTATGCTGTAGGAATTGTAATCAATGAGATGAACCAGAATATGTAAGAATTGTTGAATGGAAAATTGATGTGATGTAAACTTTTGCCAAATTCACAATAAAAAGTTTTTTAAAAGAATGTTGAGATTATATATATATATATTCAAGGGGGCATGCGGGAGGGAGGGCTAGGGTAGGGAGGAAGGAGGAAAATGAGGAGCTGATGACAGGGGCTCAAGTAGAAAGAAAAAGTTTTGAAAAAGATGATGACAACATATGTGCAGATGTGTTTGACACAATGGATATATGTATGGATTGTGATAAGAGCTGTAATAGCCCCAATACAATAAAATTTAAATGAAAAAAAAGAAGTTGAAATAATTAGCAAAACAAAACAAAACACTCTTGTGTAAGTGAAAAAACAACTTATGGAACATAACTAATAGTGTCACAGTAAGGATTTTAAGCCAGGTAGTCTGGCTCTAGAACTTTCATATTTAATCACCGCGGTGCACTACTTCTAATGATTGAGGTAATGTATGTCTAAGCATTCAACCATGAGCCAAAAGGTTCCAACCCACTCCGAGATGCCTCTGAAGACATGCCTAGTGATCTGCTTATAAAACATCACAGCCTTAGCTGCCCTAGTAGGATAAATTGACAGATGAGTGGTGGCCTTAAAGATTACGGCCTTGGAAACTGAGTTGCTCTGTCTGTAGGGTCACTATGAGTCAGAATCAACTTGACTGCAATGGGATTATTGTATGGGTCAGGTTATAAACTAAAAATTCTCTTTCAGGAACTACTTTCTATAAAATTTTGCAAAAATGAACAATTTGTACATGTTTTCTTAACCTATTACATGTTCAAATAATAATGGGAAATGTTTAATGCTATGAGTTGTGATTGGTTTGCTTATTTTGGATAGCACTTATCCTTTAGTAAATCACAATTAATTTTCAGCATAATTAAATGGACTGGGAAATTTTGAAGTGGAAAAAAATTGTTTAACTTTATGGAATTAAAGGCTCTCTAAACTTATTTGATCATGCTAAGTTCTTTTCCCAGAAGATCTTATCTATTAACCTCCTAAGAACTTTCTTAGCGACACGTCAATTTGGTCGTTTTTAAAATGCCAAAGTATAAATAAAGCTTGTATATTAAACAAAACTGACCTCTGACACCGGGATACCAAAAATAAAAGTAAAAATCAGAGCCTCGAAAATCCTGTGAAGCAGCTCTGCTCCGCACACATGGGTTTCCCAGGAGTCAAAATGGACTTGGTCGCAACTAACAACAATAACACATATAAAGTGCTTAGCACAGTGTCTCAAATGATAGTAATTTGATAAATATTGATTTTCTTTCCCACTCATCATACTCAGACTGTTTCACATCTGAGATTTTTAGAGTCCTAAATGTGAGCCTGAGAGTCCAGATGTAAACTAATAATCTAAAGCAGAAGGATTTTGGTTTTTTACAATTTCTGTAACTAAGTTTCATTTATACATTGTAAACTAGATGGACTTAAGTAAATTCTTCTTGGTCACATTTGGAGCCTTCCCTCAATTATGATGCCTCATTCAGCAAGCAAGCATTCATTGAACATCTGCCACAAATTAGGCAGTCTTTTATGTTGAGAATATAATTGATAATAAACAAGGAAACATATATAGGCCCTGACTTCACGGAGCTTCGATTCTAGAAGAAAAGCAGATATTAAGCAAATAAATACAAAAA